CACATTTCCAATATGGCCCCTCTGGGACATCCTTTGCGTCACCACCACCACCACTTCTTGGTGTCCATGAGCTCTGTGCGAGTGCCTGGCTGTCACCAATCGAGTCTGCTAATGTCAGAATGAGACTCCCATATGATAAGCAAAAAAGAGGATCCCAAGACTTTGCCTAAGTTGGGCAAAATAGCATTAAACCAGGAAAACCTAGAATACTCACCCAAAATACATGTGCATAGCAGATGAACTCTATGTTGAATTCAAGGTAAATTTGGGTCTTCTATGTAGTGTAGTCAAGCCGCATATAACCGCATCTGTAACGGATCCAGAGAAACAACTGGACAGGAGTTGGATGCCTGGCAAGTGGCCAGCCTCTCTCCCTCCCAGTGGCCACCTCTGCTCAGACCTGAAGGTCATCCCGATAGTGACCTCATCATCATCATCATCATCATCATCATCATCACCCATGGCATCAGAGTGTTTGTGATCAGCTGAGGCTGCCTCCATGTCAACAACAGCCGTGTCTGCAACCAGGCCCCCTCTGCAAGACCAATTAGTCCAGTTGAACTGCCTCAAACTACATTATATAAACCTACGTATTGTACTGTACATGGCGCCTACAATGTTTATTTATTTGAAGTTACCTAATTGGTGTAGGAGAGTTTAACCTGACACACATATTATGAACAGATAATTGGTAATATTGGTGTAAAGAGACGGCTACCAGGTGGTAAAAGATCGCCAGCAATTAGTGAGGAAGACCCTTAGGTTTAGGAGAGAGGAGCCACCGATTTGTAAAAGCCTCTGGTATTAATACCACTGGATGCCACCCTGTTTGTGTTGTGAGGTAATTTTGGGAGATTGTGTACACGAACGTAGAATTAATGGAGATGAGGCAGTTTCAAAAACTAAAGAGAACAAGTTTATTTTTAAACAAAGCGTATGGTTGCAGTATGATGATGTTAAGCTTGGCAAATAATTGAAGGTTACATGTAACTTGGTTGCGATACAATTCAGACTTTCGATGTTACAACTTATGAACTCTTGCTGTGGTGAAGCACTTTATTAACCAGTGTTCCCTGCAGTGAATAGTCTCCCTGTTTGATCTATCCTTGATCAAACCACTGATCTCTAGTCTTCTCCCGACTAGCGATCTTAACAAGCCTCTGTTAGTTCTTTCTAACTGAAGCAACTAAC